TTATAAAAGTTGTTAATAAATGCTGTTTATTAGTTTCTCCAAGAAAACCTTGAGGAGGTTGGAATTATACATACATACAAAAATACTTTCCCATCATTTAATATTCCCTTTTATGTGCTCTTAATGTCTGCCTTAGGTCCTGCCGACTGGCGAGCTCATGGACTTCCATTTAGTTATTGCTGCCATCTGTCCAGCAACTGTTGCTCTAAATATTGCAACAACAGAACTTTGCCCAACAAATCACTCCATTATCTCATTTTCTCCTTGCTCATACGCATGGTTGGGCATTAAACAGACATGAGAAAAGTTGAAGGGAGAGAGTTGTGGATCTTACTAACTGACCGTTACCTAGTTAAGGGAAGATCATAAAAACAAAAGTAAAAGTAGAAGAATTTTATGTCTTCAGGTGACAACGAAGAAATATGTATGTACGAGTATGTGTATTGTTCTTCAATTTCTTTTCTTTTTTATAAAGTCTCCTCACTTAAGCGTTGCTAAAGCGTAACATGTTTTTTAATTTAAGCCAATTTTCCATTTTCCTTAAATTTTATTTTTATTTTTTTCATTTATCCTTAAAAGTTAATGCCCGCAAATTAGTATACACATGTGATGTGCCAATATGGGTATGCATATATTTAAGTTATTAGGTCTTCAGTAAATAATTCGTTTGATAGCTGAACTATTGCAAAACAAAAATATACCGCATGATAATCATATGATGATAAAACAATATCACGTGATCGTCATTTGATTATAAAGTCATATCTATTGATTATGTTATGTTGTTAAATTATGTCATCAATTATAGTAAATGATATGAGAAATACCCAAATCGTTTAATTCAAACAAAAAGTAATTTGCTCCAAAGAAATAACAATAATGATCTCGTGATTATCAAAGCCTCATCATACTACATCATGTGATTATCATATGATGAAATATCACTAGATCATCACCTGCGATGTATTAGCAAAACAATAATTTTTCCATAAATTTGTTGATATTGCCAAAGTTTGTTTACTACATTACCAACCAACAACCAAGTTCATGCTAATAAACTGTAATAATAAATTTTACTTCAAGTGTTAGCAAGCAAATATATCGCGTGAGTATCATATGATCATAAAATCATCTTATTATTAATAATTGTAAAAAATACGACTTTCCAAGGTACAAACGTTCAACTTTATGTGAAAAATATAGAAAAATATCATTTAAGATATTTTTTAAGCAAATATACTTTAAAACGTATACAGAGAATACAAAAATTGCCCATATAAACTATTGTGTTTATTTTATTTATTTCTACTTGTTACTTTTTTTTTTTGTAGAAATTTTTGTGTGGCTAATTTAATAATATTTATATTAAATCCCTATTTTAATTAATTTTCACTAAGTCCCGTGCACTTAAACTCACATTTAATTGAAAATTCCTGGGAACTTTCAGAAATATTTTCTTTATCAATTATATATTATTATTAATAATTGTTTCATTTGTGTGCAATATTAAAACCTTTAGTTGAAGCAAACTTTGGAAAATTTTTATAAAGTGCTTTTAATTGCCCTCTTAACTTCGTGATTCTAATCTCCAAAGTGCCGGTGGAAGAGAAAACAAAAACAAAAAACAAAAGCAAATTAAACAATGAAATTCTCAGAAAACAAAAACAAGCTGCCTTCTACTTAATTTATTACTTATTTAAGGCCACCACCACGCCCACCTCAGCCGCACTCTGGTGGCCCACGTTTTGTTTACGCAAGAAAACTTGATTTAATTTTATTTGATTTTATTTAACTTTTATTTTATTTCATTTAATCAACACTTATTATTAAGATGTCTTTGCCGAATTACCTAACAACTCTGCGCATCCACACAAAAGATAACTGTAGCACCGCAATGGCAGCAAAAGAGGGGTGAAGTCAAGCGGAGCGACAGGCAGATTGTTGACAATGACAATGACTTTGCTGGAGAGAATGACGGCGTGGAAAATTCGTTGGAAAGTAATGAAAGGAGCATTAAAAGACCATTAAAATTACAAAACGGATGAAACTTGTTCACCTTTTTGTAATTGTTGTTGCTGCCGCCGGAAGGAGAGCTGAGTGAGAGATACTCGCATTCATATTCAAAAGTGAGACAGGTGAAGTTCAGCTGAGTTAATGGCATTGAGACGAATTGTTAAGTAAAGATGTGGCCATAAATCGTTTAATCAGTGTGAATGTGAAGGGAATGGAAGTTAGAAGTTGAAGGAGTTGATGGAGTTGATGGAGTTGAGAGTCCCACTTTTAGAGGAAAGGAAAAACATATGATATTATTTATCTTTACAATTCTTTACTATAATAAAACAAAATTAGAAAAAAATTAATTAAGAAAATAGGTTTTTTGTTTAAAATAAAATATTCTGATTTTTTTTTGTTTTTATCATAAAAAATTTAAAAATTATGTTTTACTAAAGTAGCAAGCAAATTTTTAAAAATGATAACTTAAATTAAACGTTTTTCTTAAGTCAAAAAATTTGTATTAAAGTTAAAATAAATAAAAAATTGTTAGTTGAAATTATCTTTTTATAAAGATGAATTATTTTTTTTTTTTTTTGAACTAAGTATTGAAATTTTTTATATTTTTATCACAAAAAAATTGCGGTACTTAAGTTATGCTTAAGTTTTACTAAAATCTGACCATTAAAATCTTGAAATGTGAACATTGAAAAAGATTTTATTTCAATTTTTTGCCTGCCATGTCTGAGTCAAGATATTTTATCGCAAAAACTTCTTTTAAGCTCAAATTTTCACATGTGTTTCACATGAACACGAACCAAAGAATGTCAGGAAAAATTGCAAACCTTTAAGAGAGTACAAGATTTTTCACAGAGTTTTCTTATTTACAAATTAAAGTAAAGATCAAAAATTTAAAAGACCTAAAAAAACTCTCGAAACAAAGATATTTTATCGGAAATATTTTACGGAAATTTCCATTTAGGCTTACTTAAATATGGAAAGAAAACCAAATGAAATTTATTGAATTTGAGTAAAAGCAATAATATCACAATATTTTTTTTAATCAAAGTTTTACATATATAAAAGAAGAATCTAAGAATGAGAGAATGTAAAATTGCTCAGTTTTTCTTTAAATTTTACGTAATTATAAACTGTCAGCTACTTAAAATGAATTTTTAATATTATTATTCTACTTCAACGCTTAGTTATTAATTAATGTGGCTTTTCCAAAGTCGGAACACTTAAACACAATTTTAAATTTGAAAATATTCTTTAAGCTCTTTTGCATCAGACATATGAGTTTTGTTAAGTTTGAAAGCAAATATTTGTGACTTGAGACGATCACTTAATTTAGCGAAAAATCATAGCTTCACTGAAGTCCAAGTTCTTAGTTTATTGAAGATATACTAAAATTCCATCATAATTTCCCTTAACTCTTCATATGGTCGTAATTTTTCGTTAAAAATTGCCAATTTTTAAGTATTTTAGTGAAAGTTTTGTCCAGTACTTACGTTGGCATTAAGTTTCTTGTAAGCATTTAATTGACTTAAATTTACTCAATTTTGGTATTTGTTCCATATTTAATGAAAATTCATAAATTGTATTTTTTAAAGCCCAATTAGTTAAAAAAAAAAAAATTAAAAAAAAATATTCTCAAAGCACTCAGTAATTTTGAGCTATTAAAAAGCAACAAAAAAATTCACAGAATGAGGCCATAAAATCAACGCGTCTCTTAAATGCCAAGCAACAAACTTAAATTAAGAAGATAAAAATAAAAATAAAAATAAAAATAAAAATGAAAATAAAAATCTGTCAAACTTTTTTAAGGCCACCATAAATGGAAGGCGTAGCCGAAATGTCACTCATATTACAACACCAAAGCGCTGCTGCAACCAGGCGACGTTGCCCGGTGCGGTTGCGGCAAACGCTCGCTCTTGAAGCTCAAAAAGTTTGGCTGGTAAGCAAATTGCATGGCAGGCAATCAGGCCGAGCCAAGCGCCAGATGTGCCAGTAAGCAAGAAATGGGAGAGCGCGCGAAACCATCAAGTTTACGTCCAACAACTTAGTCATTTAAGAGCTCTACGACTGACACCAAAGAAGCGTAAGTATCTCGGCTATTGGTCCACCGCAATTTTAGAGTATTCTCTCCTGGTAGGAAAATCTGCATTTGATCACTTGTATGTTTGTTTATTTGTTGTTTGGCCACCGGAAGGGGGGCTTTATATCATAGCAAAGTTTTAATGGCGTTTCCAAAGCACTCACAGCAGCAGCCACAAATAGCTGGCGGGCGCACAACCAAACACAGTTGGCATTCAACAACTTCGCGCTGCCATGACAACAGACATTCAATTGGTTTAAGCTGTCGCGGTGGCTATTATGGAGACCTCTTTCATGGCCTACTTATGAAAGATGGCAAACATATTTATCACCATTATGGGAATCAAAATTAATTGGGGAAAAAAGAGCAAATTGAGAAAACCCAATTTAACTCATTTTACTAATTTTTTTTTTTAAATTCAAGTTAACTTAATTCAATATAATTTTGTTTACTAAACATTTATTTTACATAATTATGTAATCAATTAATTTTGTATGAGTACATTTTAGTCTAAATTATTGTTTTTCCTTTTTTTTGTTACGATTTGACTTAAATTAATTTTCATAACTAAATTAAATTACATTAATTTCGTTTTCATTTGATTTTTTTGCATTGAAGTTGATTCAATTTTACTATTTTTTTTACTTAGTTAATTTAAATTTAATATATATTTTTAAATTATTTGACTTTATTTTATTTGAGTTGTTTTCAGTAAATAAATTTAATTTTACTTAATTTTATTTAACTGAATTGATTCAATTTAAGTTTGTATTGTTTTAATTTATTTAACTTAACATAGTTTAATTAAATTATTTATTTATTGACTTTCACTTTGTTTTATTTTTGTTTGAATTTTTAATTCACTTACTTTGTTAGATTTAATTTAATTTCCTTCAATTTTACTTAATTTCGTTTTATTCTTTGAAATTTTATTTAAATTTTGGAAGTTTTAATTCCTTTTGTACCATAAAACCCCGTTGGAAATATATACTTTTACATATGGGTTATTTTTCGCAAACACACACATACATCTATATGTTTAAGTACAAAAATATAAAACATAAAAACAATAATTATTAAAAATGTACATTTTTGTAGTGAATAAATTTGATACATATTTTGATTGACATATTATGTAACGGTACACTAAATGAATTTCTCTCACATTCACAGCTCATACATATAAAAATAAAAACTAAAAATTATAAATAAATAAAATAGAAATTATCCTGTACTAGGATTTGGTATATCTCGCTCAAGGCAACCCTTTGGCCTCGTCGTTTTCCCGTTAGACACTTTCCGTGCAGTAGGAATTACTATAGAGAGAGTAGGAGGAATCACCGACCTTCCGTGGCTCAGTGTGCTGCTCGTTGGCAGAGTGACATTTTTCTATATTGCCCATCATCCTCTGCTTCAGACTCCGATTGGGAGCTTATGTCTGACAGGCCAGTACCTCTTTCAGTCCCAAGTCTTTCTATCGGATGCAAAGTGATTAAGTTTCGAACCATAAACTTGGTGTTAGAAATACGCTCTTGCAGCTCTTCCTCTATACCCTGTAGCTGTTCCTTTGCTTTCACTGCCAACGCTGGGTTATCATATTCTGTGACGCGCAGCAAGAGATGCTTCCGCAGCTCGTGCAAATAATCTAAATGCGCTCGTTTCTTAAGCTCATTTTCGCTGTATATGAGATGGTAGCAGCGATGGTAGCGTACATAAATTTCTATTCGCTTTTCACTGAATTCCTCAGCAGCCTCGAATTGAGCTCGAAGCGTCCAGAATTCCGACGTTAGGGCATTGTTATGAGCATGCAGCCTCCTATAAAGATCCTCGGAACGCTTGAACATCGCTCTGTAGTGACGTCTTTGCCTTTCTTTTGTTATTAGTGGAAAATCGGCAGCATCGAATAAAGGCAGTTTATCAGCGAAACACGGATTCTTCTTTACAAGCATTTTGTAAGCACTTAGGTCCTCGGTTTTCCGATATTTGTCGTCGTCGAACAACAAGGTTATTAAGAAATCCGTCACTTCATCGTCTTCCCAAGGTCGATAAAGATCTGCTTGATTCCGTTGTTGATGTTCATCTCCCTTAGTTTCAGTTTCAACATTGCTACAGCTCCGAAATGTGCTCACGTCAACGTCTTGTGCGTGCGTATTTGCTGTCTTTATAGAGCTCTTTCCATCTGAAAGTGTAATTGTGGCATTATTACGCGTCCTCTCTCGTTGGCTGGAGTGCTTTCCAGGGTTCGTGTGTTTTCGCACGAAGCAGCTTTCCTCAACTTGGAGTTTGGCTACCAGTTCAGGGAGTCGTTGGTTATCTGAAAATTTTAAGATATTACTGTTATTTCTGGTGCGATTCTGTGCAGGATCTTCCGAACTATGTGGGTTTGTCGATTTGTTGTCCTCTCGAGGTCGCTGTATTTTCGGGGTGATCGTTTTGTGTTTTTTGTAGTTTCCGGACGGCGTTGCATAACAGGATGCCTCACTTCTTCCCTCCGGAGGTAAGGCTAAATAAAAATGCTTCCTCAACTTCACTTTCTGACGCTCCTCGTCGGTGTAGTGCGGCCAATTCTCGTCGACTTCATCCCAAACATTGCATTTTAGATGGTACAACTTACGCTCGAGTCTCGTAATCAACGGCATCAAGGAGGAAACAACTAATTTTTCGTCCTTAGTCATACCCCCCGTCGATAAACGTGACTTCAGTTCCGACATCGTTAATGGTTGTATTGCCAATAAATGGATTAGCCGCTCACCGATATGTGGCTGTTTTGCAGCGGCGGACTCACATGTCTGCTCAAAAACTTTCGGAAACTGATGGCTGCCTAAAGATGGCGATAAGTTCTCCTTGGATGCACTTTTAAGTTCCTTGGTTTTCGTTTGTTTTTCTCTTGGCGAAAGCTCTCGTCTCCTCTTCGTCACTTTATTAGCTCCAGACATTACGGACTGGTTTTTGTGAATCCCAGCTGTTTGAGCGTTGTTTACATATTTTTGTACTGAATCCATATTTCTTTCTGATTTTTGTTTTGCTGTTTGTTGTTTCCTTTTTAAAAATGTCTATTTTTCTATTGTTTATAAAGTTTTCAAGCCTCGTTGCCTGGAAAAGTCAAAGCGAGATTTGTTGTAAATAATGTCCGCTATTATTTTCTGCTTCTTCACATTTAGTGTTGAAGTTTCTTGTGGAATTTGTCAGCTGTGCGTCCTCTCGCTGCCCGTACGGTTTATACCCTTCAGCGCGGCGCAGGTAACCGTTTTCAAGTATAAAGGACGCGGTCACAGTTAAGATCCGAAATATTCGTCTGTAACATAGTTTTGGCAAATTTCTGCAAATTTAATTACTTTCAAGTACATTTTATTATATTTTTTAATTTAATCCGTTTAATTAAATTTTAAATTTAATTTAAATTGTGTAGTGCAATTACGTTTTATTTAATTAATTTTGCTTAAGTTTAAATCAAATTTCAATTTAAAATATTTGAGTTTATTTTACTTAAATTACTTCAACATTAACTTTTAATTGATTTCAATTTATTCAATTTAGGTTTAATTAAATTAGTTTACTTAAGTTTGTTATGGTTAATTAAATTAAATTAATTTTTTTTCATTCAATTTGACCATATGCCTATTTAAATATTCTGATTTATTTAATTTTATTTAATTTTTCCATTAATTTATTTCCCTTTACTTTAATTTTTTAGTTAAAGTTTAAGTTATTTTACTTTATTTTGCGCTTTTTAACATATTTTTTTTTGCTTTTAAATTATTTTATTTTGTAAATTTTAATTTCATTCGATTTAATATAATTTTATTTTGTTTTTGTTTGATTTAATTTTTTGCTTAAGTTTACCAAATACATTTTCTCTACTTTTTCGTATTAATGCATTATTCCGTCGCTCGCCTGCAACTGTTCTCCATTTGTCTTCCTCATTCTTATCTCTCATTTGTAACTCAATACCTAAATCACTTCAATTTTGTGTCAATTTGTCTAACGGTCTACATCAACTTAATCATTATCTCCTCGTCTAGTCTAGCCGCTGTAGTTGTTGTTCTTATCTTGCTTGCTTAAGCATTTCAGTCTGCTCTGGCATGAATCCTCAAACACACTTGACCTTTTTCTCATTTACAGCTGCTCTCAGTTAAGTTTACAAGCATTTGAGGAGCATTTAATTTGATTTCGTTTATTTTTCAAGTAGTCTCACTGCTGAGTGATTTGATGAGAGTTGCTTTTTGTATTGTCTTGAGTGTGTGTAACGGCGGGGGGAGGACAGGTTGCTTGGGACTTATTCATTTGCGCAAATTAATTAAAATATATTGCAAATTAAAGTCGCATATCAGAGAAATATTACTTGGAAAATACTATGTGAGTATAACAGTGTTGAGGAAAATATTTATTAATTTTTCAAACGGGCGGTGGAGTTAATGGGAGAGTTCGTAAAAACGATTTAATTCCTTGGAATTTCTTTTATTATTCATTCTGTTCTACTGGAGGGCCCTCTCGCGGTATAAAACAATACAAAACTTGGCTTGAATAGGTTTTGGAATATTTTGTGTCATATCACATAAAAATATCATAATTTAACTCTTTCCAATTTTTCAGATCATCGTTACAAATGTTCCATTGCTGAATGGATCTTCAGTTTTAGGCTGCCTCCGATGGCCGGTGAATCTTTTGTCTGAGAAGATTTTTGTTTCCAAAAAAGCACTCTGAAACATTGATATTGCCAGCCAAGGAGAGGGGTTCAAGCATATGGCTCTCCGGCTCTCTGAGAGTCGACTATTGTCAGGAGCATTCTCTTAACTCTACAAAGACCAACCAAAACGCCTTTTAGTGTGTACCTCCAGGTTGTACCAACAAACGCACCCTACGTAGACCTCGTTCCTTTTCCGACACTTTAAGTGCCGCCAATCAAAATGTAAAACCTCATTTAATGCCACATTTGATGGCAGTTCCATGCACTAACTTGAAATTCATGCGTGCGAACGCCTACCGAACTGTGGCGCAGAGGTGAGTGTGAACGCGGCTTTTGTATACATGTTGCTATTGTTGTTGTTGGCGACATGTTGCCACACACTTGTGAGTGCCATTATTGTTGCCAATTTGTATTCAAATAGGGTAATTTCCGGTGCGTGTGTGGAAAGGCTTGGCACATGACAAGGCAGCCGAGCTGGTGCGGGAGCGTGTAATGTGTAAAGTGGTAAGTGGAAGTAGGAAGGAGGAGGGCGGAGGGCGGAGGAAGGTCATAAGAAGCTCATGAAACCCAAATTTCCTTGCTGGTCGTCAAACTGTCACGAGTGTCATGCATGACATATGTAAATAATAATATTTTCCATTCACATGCAAATCTGTATGTATTTATGCAAGTGAAAAAATAAAATTAAAAACATTTGCTGACAATTTATTATACAATTTTTTTTTTCCTTGCAACACTTATTCTGCTCCCTCACTTTTTTATATTTTTTTGCATTTTTTTTTTTTTTTTTTTTTTTTGGTGTTTTTATTGTTATGTGGTATTTTATTTTCGCAGAATGCTTCACGCACGCGTTTGCCTGCGCTCCTATGTCGGTTGGATGTATGTATTTAAGTCTGCTTGATCGCTGATTTCTGCTTGTTGCGCGTTCATCACATCAATATTCATATACTGAGTTGTTGTTGCTGTTGTTGGTTGAGATTTAAAACTGTAATTACAAATATGCAAGCAGCTGTTGAATAATAATACGTAAAAATGCTTTTACATATCCCTTCACGCACACACGTACACACATACACACATACACACACATTAGTCGCACTTAAATATGCACACGAGCGTCAGTGTAGGTAAACAACGATTTTTGGTTCGCATACACTTTCGTGTGGATTATGTGAAAGCATAATAAATGCATGGAAGAGTGAGCTAAAGAAATATGTTTTATATGCATACATACATATATACAACGGCATATATACAATATTTTGTAGCACAAGCACTTCCACAAGCTGAAAACATTGAAAATGCTGTAAATGTGTTGCGCAACATGCTGGCAACATTTCGGAAAAAAGTTTAGAAAACGATTTCCGTCTTATAAAATATTAGTTAAGTCATTTAGATTTTAGTAACGTGGAAAAAAACAATGCAAATGCTTAAACCCCACTAAAGAAAGGAGAAAAGAAGAGTTTTTTGTGGCAAAGAAACTTAACTGCAAAACCAAAACTAAAAATGTTGTAACTGCTTTATCAACATGTTGCTGGAATGGCAGTATAATAGAATTTCCCAAATTCAAAGGTTAAGTTTATATAAATAAATATAAAGCTCTAGTCTAATGTTTTTGCAACAAATATAATGAAATCAATTATCCCCAAACTCAACAACATGTTGCGTGGATAGCAAATGTTTTTTTTTTCATTGTGGAAAAATTTTTTGAAAATAAAAAAGTGACAGGCTTCAGCATTATATCATAACAATGAAGTTTAAAACAAAAAATTTAAATGTTTCAGCAACATGTTGCTCTAAAATATAGTAAAAAAATTACAAATAATAAATTCTTATTTGAAATCTTAATTTAAAACTTTCTATGTTGCGTAAAAATGTGAACAAAATTGTTCTGGAAAATTTCGATTATAAAAAATGAAAACCGTTTTTATAGGCGCTTAAAACTCTCGCTCATTATTATTGCTCTCTAAAACTTTTAAAGCTCCTAAATATGTGTATCCCATTTTTTACTAACTTTTTGCTGCTAATCAAAACTCAACTCAAGCAAAGGCAACAACTATTATTACACAATCATTTTGCAAAAAAAAAAGCATATAAAATACACATAAAAGCCACAAAAGCTTGTTTATATGCAAATAATTGCCGCATAAGCGTTTAAAACTCCCAAAAGCCAAATAACAGTTACTCTAACGCAACTTGTTGCAAGGAAACCAAAGAGGGTAAGAGCGAGAGAGAGGGGAAAATAGTTGGTTGTGAGAAAAAAGCGGAGAATATACAGAACCCAGGGAAATCAAAGGACCAACTATGCAACAACAACAACAATAACAACAACATCTAAATATAATAGTATTTATTGCCATAGAAGATGAGCGTCTGCTTACTACACACCAAGGGCAAATGTTATTGCTACTGGCAAAGGCACGCCTGTATGTGTGTATGTATGTGTATGTGTCTATGTGTATACACTTGATATTTATTGTGCAAACAATGTGTACAATGTGTATGCCGTTGTTGTTGTTGTTGTTGTTGGTTGTTGTTGTTGTTGGCCAACACATGTTGAAAACCACCGGTGTGTTGTTAAATAATGTTGTCAATTATACCAAAGTTATTCCACATTGCAACAGGAAAGTGTTGAAGCAGTGAGGGAGCGAAGCGAAGATGGCGGGCGAGGTTGGCAGAAAGTTTCCAGTCTAAAGTTCAATCTGCACACTAACACATACACATGTACAAGCGCTAGCAAAACTATTTATAATAGCAACAATAACTTTAGCAATGCTGCTGCTATTATCGCTTGTCAACACTTGCTAGGAAAACGGGTCAAGGGCAAAAAGAAGAAGAAGAACAAGATAAAAAAAAACACCCAAAGGAAGCTGCAAAATATTCACTGTAAATAGTTTTGCTTAAATATGTGGCACAAGATATTTTACGCCAAATAAACTCGCAAATACTATTTTCACACGCTGGCAAGTGAACAAACAACAACAAAAACAATAAACAGGTCGAAATAACTATTTAGTTGTTAAGTAGAAAACAACAACGAAGGAGGAATGCATGCTTGACGGAGTCTCGTCGTTTTTCACACCAAATGGGCAAGGAAATCGCAGGTCTTCCAGTATGTCTATTTTTGGGTATGTAAGGTGTGCTAATCAATATGAAAGACATTTAAGTCTTTCAGTTCAAGTATATATTTAATTTTCTTAATATATTTTATAAATTTCTTAAAAATGGGCTTTCCTTCTGTTAAGCTATCGTCTCCTGGTAGCTAAAGACACTTTACAAGAATACATCTTAATGGGCTTCTTCACCTCTTTACAACACGAACTCCTTCGTTGTCCCATCCACATCAGTTAGTGTTTCTTTGAAGTTCATAGCTCCCTCAGTATCACGTCAGTTATTTACTTCTCCACCCGATACGCAGTATTTCTCGGTGTGTGCTTTACAAACATGCGTCAGCATGCTAACTACGACATATGCATTTCACATTATCTGCCGCCTGGCTCGTTGGCACACAGGCTTGCTTATTTTCTTGCTCTCCTGGGATTTATGAACGATTTTTTTTTTGCTTTGGTGGGCAACACACGGTGGATGAAAGCACAAACCATAGATATAAGAGATGATATAGAAAGTGGGATGATGTGGTTGACATATTGGACTAGAGTTC